TATAACTATTCTTCAACTCCATCAAAGATTCCAGAAAGATACAATATTACCTAAGCAAACAAAAAGTAAGCAACTTTTAAAACTCTAGAAATGACATAGACATCTCGCTGCCTGTACAGTCACCCAAAGTTCCTCTGTACCGTTGGGGCATCCATCTTTGGCCTACAGGCCCATAGTTTCCAGCAGACATTTCCACAAAGCAGGAAATTTCAAAGGCAGTCACTATCTGATTGTCCTGAAGAATGTCTTGCAGACTCTTTCATGAATCAGGAACCCTGAAAGACCATCTCACCTTTAGGCAAGTTTAGCAGTCCTCTCTCTGTGGGTTCTCTGTGTCCAGTTTATGCAATACAACAGATTGGTGCCCAACGTGATGGACTAAATCCACTTAAAAACCTGAGAAGGCTTAAAAATAAGGGAGAGAGAGTTTAACAGAGATTTTTGCTGTTTGTTAGTGGCATGTCATAGAGAGATTTCCGATTCAGCAACAGCAGCAGAAAAAAAGCTGAGTTATTTTAAAGCGCGGCTTCCTGGGGCTGTGCCACCAGTGCAAACTCTGGCTTTATGTTTCTGTTCCCACTTGGGATCGAAAGGAGAGTCCTCTGAGACCATGCTGATGGCTCAGAGCTCCCCGCCTGCACCTGGGCAGACGGTAGAATCAGGCTTAGGCAGGCGGAAGAGCATGGCGGATTCCTGCCACCATACAGAGACGTGTTTTCAGACTGTGCAGTGCTCCGTGTGTCAGATTTTGGACGTCACTTGGATGAAAAGAATTTCTGTGCTGCATGCTCAGTCTCAGAATTAAAGTGCTGAGGGCCGCTCCTACCTGGTGGCCCCAGAGCTAGCACAAAATGGTACGTCCTCCATTTTTAAATTTTCCTGACTCAGCAGCAGGAAAAAAACCTGTGTTGTTTTAAAATGCCGGCTTTCTGGGCCATCCTGCCAGGGCAAACTCTGTCTGTTTGAGGCAGGAAGGCCGACTACAGAGAGAGGACTTGTGTGTTGTCTGTGGACATAATGCTGCAACTTACTTGCTGGCAGGAACCTTGAAATACCATAGAGTTGTGGCAGTAAACTTGGCTACAGCCAGTACCTCAGCCATGAGGCTGGAAAGCTAAGGAATGGACTGGATCTAGCTGGCAAAGCCACAGCTTTAGTCCTACTGAGATTGCTTGGTAAATTAAAGACTCATGTGGTCAGAAAAAGAGAGATTCAAAGACAAAGAAAATTTCTAAATGGTTTACAGTGTGTTAAAAATATATGCAAGCTAAAAGTTAAAAGTTCTTAAAAGTAAAAAATGAAAGAGAGTTGTTGGGTGTGGTAGTACACACCTTTAATCCCAACATTTGGGAGGCAGAGGGAGATTGACCTCTGTGAATTCAAGGTGTGGTAGCACATGCCTTTAATCCCAGTGCCTAGAAGGCAGAGACAAACAGATCTCTGTAAGTTCAAAGTGCAGGAGTGTACACCTTTAATCACAATGCCTGGGAGGCAGAGACAGGTGGATCCCTGAGAGTTCGAGGACAGCCTGGTCCACAGAGTTATTCCAGGTCAAAGATATAGAGAGAATATAAAATAGAAGTAAAAAGAAACGAAATAGAGGTTAAAACAAAGCTGTACAAAGATGGAAAATAAACAGAGAATTTTGATACTGTATGCTATTATGCTCTCTTTGAATTATTTGGATGCTGAGGAAAGAGCAACAGCTGCTAAAAGATATTTATTTATAAATGCTGCTGAACTAATCCAACATAGATATTTTGATGCCTCGACTTTGAAATTTGGATCTAAGGACATGATGCTTTGGAAAGGAGTTTCTTATTTTGTTTTCACAGAGGATGAGACCCTGTTCATTTCTTCTATTCTGATTTGGTATGATGGACCACGTCCTCCGGAAGGGTTGCTGTGAACATCTTCAGAAAATTGCTTTGCTCAACTGCCAACTGAGATGAAACTAGCACACAGGTTATACCATCAAAGACCTAATTATCGACACCCCCATTCAGCAGGAAGCAGTTTGGAGAGAAAAAACTGCGCCCATGTTCCCAAATAATGTTTATAAATGTTCTTTTACATTTAAAGGGGGATATGATATAGGTATGAATAATTTGCATTAGTATAGATTTTGCTTTATTGATAGAGATTTACGGTCAATTTTGTTATATGTATATGTATTACTGATATTGATTAAGGTATTGTGATTGTGTAGTTCATTATTAAAATGTAATATATAATTAGGAAATATAGGTTGTTGATGGATAATCATAAATAATAGTCAAGTTTGTAGTCATGTGAGTTAATATTTTCTAGATGTGCATAGATATATTTTAGATAGGCATTCTTCATATTTTTCAAAGATTATAGAATACGGCGTTTTAAATGTTTTAATAACTTAGGACTTTTCATGACAATGAGACACTCTGCTCCTGGCAGCACGAATCTACTTCAAGAGGAAGATGGGCATCGAAGAGGCTTGTTATGGAGTTTGATAGCCATTTGGGCAAGAAACTGCTCTTGCCTGGACTATTGCATAAACTGGACACAGAGAACCCACAGAGAGAGGACTACTGAACTTGCCTAAGGTGAGATGATCTTTCGGGGTTCCTGATTCATGAAAGAGTCTGTGAGACATTCTGCAGGACACAACAGATAGTGACTGAACTGACTTTGAATTTTCCTGCTTTATGGAAATGTCTGCTGGATACCATGGGCCTGAAGGCTGAAGATGGATGCCCCAACAGTACAGAGGAACTTTGGGTGACTGTCCAGGCAGCGAGATGTCTATGTCATTTCTAGAGTTTTAAAAGTTGCTTTTTTCTTGTTTGCTTAGGTAGTATTCTATCTTTCTGGAGTCTTTGATAGAGTTAAGAATAGTTAGTTATAGTTATAGCTTTCCTTAGTTATGATAAAGATTATTGTAACTTTTACTTGATAACTGTTTCGTTATATGTAATTTTGCTATGTTAAAGTTAAAGCCTTTTTTTTTTTTTTTGTTTAAACCGAAAAAGGGGAAATGATGGAGGAAGGTCATTGGTTAAATAAAAAGAAACTGCTTGGCCCTCATTGGTTAGAAGATAGGTGGGAGGAGTAAACAGAACAGAACGCTGGGAGGAAGAGGAAGTGAGCTCAGACTCGACAGCCCTCTTCTTGGGAGAAGATGCCTCAAAGAGACGCCATGCTCCCAGCTCCCAGGCAGACACACGCGATGAAGCTCCGACCCAAGATAGGCTAGAATCTTCCCGGTAAGTGCCCCTAGGGGCGCTACACAGATGATAAGAAATGGGCTAAATTAATATGTGAGAATTAGCCTAGAAGAGGCTAGATAGAAATGGGTCAAGCAGTGATTAAATGAATACAGTTTGTGTGTTGTTATTTCGGTCATGAGCTAGCCAGGCAGCTGGGGTGCTGGGGACGCAACCCCGCCGCCCTTATTACTACATGGCTATGCTTCCAGAGGACCTGGACTCAGTTCCCAAGACCATAAGGATGGCACACAATCATCTGTAACTCCAGTTCTAGAAGCTACAGTGCCCCCTTTTGACCTCCTCTGGTGGCAGGCATGCAAGGAAAGAACTATTACAGATAAAATAAAATCTGAGAATTAAAATTTTCAAGAATTGATTAAAGTGATGATATTGACCATACTGAATTATGGTGTGGATGAAAAGGAACTGGTTCATTTCTACACTCCTGGTGGGAATGCAAAGTGCATTAACTTTGGAAAAACATCCAGCAGTTTCTCAAATCACTAACCATACATCTATGCACGGCAGGAACTGAACATCACACTTGTGGGTGCTTATGTGAGAAATCAGATCCTGGGTTTAGACAAAGACTGGCTCATAGACATTTGTAGCAGCTTTATTAGTAAGTGAACCCAACCTTAAACAACCCAAATGATATCAACAAGTACAAAGATAAACAATGGACAGTATGTACCCATAGTGGAATGCTCAACATTGAAAATGAATGAGAATTTGATAAAAACACTGAAATGGAAATGTATGCCTACCAAAATAATAGCATCAAGTGAAAAAAAAAAAGCTGGACCAAAAACACATAACAGGTAATTCCATTCACATAAACTGTACGAGTTATGTGTGTCAGTGCACTCCTTTACTCTTAGCACTTGGGAGTCAGAGGCAGGAGAAACTCTGAGTCAGAGATCAGCCTGGTCTACATAGTGAGTTCCAGGCCACTAAGAGCTACATAGTGAGACCCTGTCATAAAAAAATATATAAACTCTATGAAATGCAAGCTGAAAACAGATCCGTGTTTGCTTTAGGGAGAAGGCATTGGGAAGGGACAAAAGTTACAGATATGTTCATCACCTTGGCTATGGTGATATGATCACCACAGCTTACATTATTTACAAATTCAGTTTAGTGTAAGTTTATTACACAGCAAAGCTGCCAGTGAAAAATTATCCCTGTTCTCATCTTCCCAAGGATGCATCTATCACACACACACACACACACACACACACACACACACACACACAATTGCTGGCCTAAAACAATGGAACACTTCCTTTGAAGTGGAAAGGTCTCTGAAGTATGTGGAGAATGGAAGCTTTGAAAATAGAAGCTTCTAAGTCCATCTGTTCCAAAAGAACACTATTTTTATATCCAACTCATATTTCTCTAAGAACTTGGCCCAAAACTTAGTTTCTTCCATTTTGGTTATGTACGTTTCTGAATCATAGCATAGAGATCAAGGAGAGGTTGTCTACAAAGGATATGTAATTTAAGAGGAAAAAAGTCTGGTTTTGCTTTGGGGCCACATATTATATCATTCTAAACAATACTATTTTAAAGGGTTAAATTCACAATACTGTTGTTTGATAGAGAAAAGATGAAGAAATAACTTATGCAAAAACTAATCACAGTGACTGGAGAGGTAGTTCAGGCTTAAGAGCACTGGCTATTCTTCCAGAGGACATGAGTTCAATTCCTAGGACCTACATAATGTTTCACAGCCATCTGTAAATTCCAGTTCCAAGGAGACAGTATGCTCACTTCTGATCTCCAATGGTATCAGGCACTCATGTGGCACACAGAAATACATGTAGGCAACCCTGTACAAACATCAAATAAAATTTAAAAATGCAAACGTGTAAATGGTGTAGTCTGGAGATGGAGCACAGTTACAAAGATAAAGTCCCTGCTTGCAGGTTTGCTTTTCCTCTGTGCTGTCTCTTTGCATGCTGCTTCTCAGACACACTTTCCTCCTGAGCCTTCTGCCTGCACTTTAGCAGGGTCTCTATATTCTGCCTTCCATGTAGCTCCAAAAGTCCCTCTGAGGTATAGGAGACTGATTTTTCAGGTCAAGCAGGAGTCATCATTTAAAACAGGAAAGGGATGAAGGATTGTAGGCTGACTGGGAGGCTTGGAAAGAGCAAAGCTGTGGCTAAACAATTGAACTCACAACGTTGGAAACAAAGATGTCAACCAACTGGATCCCCAGTCTCTGCTTCTGGTCCTTGCCTCTGCTGAGGTGAACTGAAGGTAGTAGTTTGCTGACAGCTGTCAGGGAAATCATGTTTTACATTCAAGTAAGCAAGAATAGCTTAAATTTCATAACAACAGTCCAAGGTCTTCTCCTGTTCTTCCAGGATCTTTAAATTCAATGCATTGGCAATGGCTTTGCCTGCTTCTGGCAAATACTGAATGCAGTTAAAATGCAGTTGTCAGCAAAAACAGCTCCCTCTTGAATGTACACACAGGTGCCTGATGGATGCGTCTGAGAAGGAATCCCCCTGATCTTAAATCTGCAGGTGGAGAGAAAAGGGGGAAAAAATGACATATTAGCATCATTGTGTTAGAAACGAATCCTGTCTCAGAGTTTGAAATCAGCAATAATGTGAGAAGAAATGCCAGAAAAGGTCTGAAGAGGAAAATAGTAATTCCTCTTGGGATTTTGATTGATTCCCTACTCTTCATTCTGACAGGAAGAGGATATATGTGGCATGTGACAGTGGCTTCAAAACAGGTCCAGTCAGGAATAGAACACTCATAATGTGCACCAAGAGGAGAAATGGACTTACAGGTGAGGACGCAAAGGAGAGCCATTCTCCCACAGCCAGGGTTCGTTTTGTTTCTTCCGGTGCAATCCCATCCAAAATGGCGAGGTGGAATGGGAAGTTGCTTGCGAGATGAAGTTCTGTGGAAAGATACAACTCTGACCTTAGAGTCATCAAACTAATTATCAAAAAGATCTTCTGCATCCCTTGGCGGTTTAACGACAATGTTTACAGAAGCCTGCTGAGATCACACATCCTATATACCCAAGGCCAAGTATGCAATCAGACAGAAAAACAGCTCTTTTCCCTCTCAAACAAGTGTTCCTCCCTGTGGTGGTTAGAATGAAAACGTCCCCAGAGACTCATAGAGAGTGGTAGTGGTGTTTTGTTGGAGTAGGTGTGGCTCTGTTGGAAGAAGTATGTCACAAGGGGTGGACTTTGAGGTTTCAAAAGTCCAAGTCAGGCCCAATGTTACTCTCTACTTGCTGTCTGTGGATCCAGATGTAGAACTCTTTGCTCCTCTCCAGCACCATATCTGCCTGTGTGTTACCATGCTTCCTGCATGCAGATAATGAACTAAACCTCTGAAATGTGAGCCAGCTCCAATTAAATATTTGTCCTTCTAAAAGTTGCCATTTGTTGGGGTCCAGTGCTACAGCCATGATCATGGCATCCATTAAGGGCAATAAAACTCTAAGACACTCTCTCAGGAACCTAAGCCTGATTATCATCGCCGCAAATGACTCACCAGATCATCTACGCTATTAATTTGTAGCATCTGAGCATCCAAAGACAGGCAAGTTTCTTGGCTCTTTGTCCAGTAAGATGACTCTGAAGAGAACAGGTAACAGTTTTCTTTATGCCATAACCAGTCTTCTGGGCAAGGACCTAGGAAGTATTAATAGAACAGATGATTTCTGAGTAAATACATTTCTTAAGTTCTTCCATAGAATGATACCCACATTCTACAAATACCAGAATGGTCAGAATCTTTGTTTCCATTTGTTAAATCATTTTTTACATTTTATTTTTCTTTTATGTGTATGGGTATTCTGCCTGCATACATGTACGTACAACACATGCATGTAATACTCTCAGAGGCCAGAAAAGGGCATCAAATCCACTAGAACTGAAGTAGCAATCGGTCATGAGATGCTATTTGGATGCAGAAAAACCAACCTAAGTCCTCTGGAAGACCAGTCAGTGCTCTTAAAAATTGAGCCAACTTTGCAATCCTTATTTCCCTTTATACATTTTTCTTTTATTGAATATATTTTTTCGTACAAGGTATTTTGATTATGATTTCCCCTCTTCAAACTTCTCCCACTTCCTCTTTCTGTCTTTTATGTTTATAAAAGAAGAAGAGGGTGCTTCAGAAGAAGAAGTACTAAAGCATGCTGATTTTAGCAAACTGGGTTGACTTCCCATTTAGCATTTCATTTCATTTTTTTTGTTGTTGTTGTTTTGCTTTATTCTGTTTGTTTTTTTTTTTCAAGGCAGGATTTCTCTGTAGCTTTGGAGCATGTCTTGGAAACTAGCTCTCGTAGAGCAGGTTGTCCTTGAACTCACAGAAATCCACCTGCCTCTGCCTCCTAAGGCATGCACCACCATCACCCAGCTTTATTTCCCTTCTTAAGGAATAAATTGGTATGCAAGTTTGGAATTTGATATTTTTTAAAATTTTGTTTGAAATTATGAAAATAAGAGTTAAAGAACTGGATGTTTCTTCAGCCACTCTGCTATTACAAAACTAGGCATGCATTTAAAAAACTGTATTTCTCTGAATAACAGAATTAGTTTTGGTTACTTTGTCTTCTTCTTTTATCAGTGTGTTGTCTAATACAGTCACCAATGTGGTTTCTGAAATGAGGTAAGTTTGCATTCACCTGTTTTTGCATATAAGTACACATGTGATTTTGAGAGCTTCATCAGATCCATGCATCAGAACAGACTAGCCTGTTGAGAACCTTATAGCATAATGTTAAATTAATATATTTCACGTGCTTGGGCTAAGTAAAATATTTCACTACAGCTAATTCTATTTCTTTTTTTTTCTTTAAACATGTTCATGCTAGAAAATTTACTGTCGCATAGAAACTCACATTCTTTGAATCTTTTGACTGTTAGTTAGCTAACTGCTGAGAGATATTTGGTTATGGTGGCTGCAAATCTAAACCAACACAAAGGTATCTTGACTTCAAAAATTGAGTCTAAGGATATGTTACTTTGGAAAAGAGGTTCTACTTTTGTTTCCACAGAAGATGAGAACCTATGGAATCTTTCCAGGGTAATGTGGTTTGTATAGTTTTTTTTAGTTATGATAAAAGATAAATTAGATATAAAACATTAGACTCACAAAAAATACTGTATCTGTAATTCTTGCTTCTACCTGATTTGTGATATATAATTTTATTATGTTAAAATTAAAACCTTCCACTGGGCGGTGGTGGCGCACGCCTTTAATCCCAGCACTCGGGAAGAAGAGGCAGGTGGATCTCTGTGAGTTCGAAGCCAGCCTGGTCTACAAGAGCTAGTTCCAGGACAGGAACCAAAAACTACGGAGAAACCCTGTCTCGAAAAATCAAAAAAAAAAAAATTAAAACCTTCCTTTGTATTTAGACAGTAAAGGGGAGTTGGTGTGGAAGTCCTCTTTGTATGCTTTGAATATATTTTATTAGCATTGGTTAATAAACAAGCTGCTTTGGACAATAGCAGGGCAGAATATAGGTAGGTGGGAAACCTAAACTGAATGCAGGGAGAAAGAAGGCAGAGTCAGGCAGATGCTGAAGAAGACAAATGCCAGAACCTTACTCGTAAGCCAAAGTTTTGTGGCAATACACAGATTAACAGAAATTAGTTAATTTAAGATATAAGAGCTAGCTAGGAATATTACTGTTGGTCAAACAGTGTAATTAATATAGTTTCTGTGTGATTATTTGGATCTGTACAGCTAGGAAACATAAGCAAGGTCTCCATTTACACTACCTCCCTTGTAGTGTTGGGATTAAAGGTGTGTGGCTCCCAAATACTGGTATTAAAGGTATAAGCTACCACTGTCTGACTCTGTTTCTCTTTGGCACTCAAACAATTTAATGCAGCCCAGGGTGGCCTTGAAGTCACAGAGATCCATCTGCCTGTTCTCCATGGGTAACTAGTGGCTCACCCTGCACTGTTGTCTTCAGGCAAGCTTTATTTGTTATAGCACGAACAAAATATCACCACCAAGAATACTCCAGGCCTTCACTGCCAGACCTTGACAGTTAAGACATCCAGCCTCACAGACCAAACAGCTGTCACATTCTCCACCCACCCAGTGAGAGATAACCATTTTTCATTTCCCAGACATATTATGCAAACCATTCTAAAAAATCTGTTCTTAGTAAATACTCATCCTGATGGTCCTGTTATTATAGCAGCAGTAGCCCACACCCTTTCAAACTTCTCTGAGGATGAACTAATTGAGGAAATAGTCTGCTGTGAGCCCAGGGTTTGGGGACCTAAGTGGAACCTGCCATTTTATCAATCTATTTGCATTTGCATAGTTGCTAAAAAAAAAAAAAGCACCAATTCTGATGCTAAATGCAGAGATCTATCTTTTTGAAGACTCTGCTTCTCCTTATCTTCTAAGCAAATCATTCTATTGATCAGTTTGTAAGACAGAAAGAAGCTGCCTCAAATTTGAGAAAAGTAACATCGCTTTTTTCACTTGGGATTTCAGCACTACAGTATTTTCTTTCTTTTTTTTTTCTGAGACTGAGAAAGTTTATTGCAAGGAATTAGACACTTTCAAGAGACTCTCCTTAAAGCAACATAATTAATTAGACATTCATCTGGAATCTTTACTAATTGGTCATATCTAACATTCAAAAAAATGGAACAAAAGGCCTAACATAAATGCCAGAAAAAGGCATGTGAGTTCTATGTCTGATTTATTGTTTATGACTGGCATCTCTAGGAAAAGATTCTTCGTTGTCCGTATACAGACTGAATTCCATACAGTTTAAAGTTGATAAATGCAAAACTGTTTCATGGCTAAGTCTGTTGTTTGGGATTTTAACTGTCTGAATATGTGTATACTCCCTTCTTTGATATTTAAGCCTCCTTCCCTTAAATCTGGTTTGAAGAGTTGCATCTCTTATTTTATTGAAAGGTCCTTCCCTAGAAAGTTTAAATATATATTTGACACTTGTCAACGGCCAGCTTGTATAAAACTTTCTGCTTATTTTTGCCAAGTTAAATAACTCCTTTCATACTAAAAGGACAGAAAGGACTCATTTGTTTGTTTGATATCTTCACATAGTCCTGGTGGGAACTCATGATGTACACAGTGCTAATCTTGAACTCAGAGATCAGCCTGCCTCTCTCTCCCCAATGTTAGGATTAAAGGAATGTTCCACCATGCTGGACATGAAAATGAAGAGGTGGCTATCTGTTATATTATTATATAATCTTTACTTAGCAAAACTGCACAAATGAGCTTTTAGTCACAGAAGCAAAAAGGTGGAGAAATGTGCTTTTGAATGGCACTTAAGTTCTAATCCTGAAAAGAGCATCCTCATTCATGCACTTCCCAAGAAAGGGTGTCTAACTCTGAACACCTAACTCCGTAGTTAGAAGCACATACCTTGCTTGATTACAAAGTGCAAAAAACTCAATAATGTAGAAAGCTCCTGTACTAGTACAAAACTTGTCAGCATAATCTGTTCATTGTCTGCTTCCTAGATTCCGAATCCTTTTAGACAGATGGAGTCATCTCGATTCCTGTATAAACTTAATTTCTGGACCTCTTACCTTTGCTCAACCTGAAGTACCAACCTAAACCTTCCAAGTGAACTGACCTCCATGGGTTGTACTTAAACAGATGTAGTGCTCATTTAAGAAATGGTGTACCAGAATGAAGGTAGCATGAGAGCTGGTATAAAGAATTGCAATGACAGAAAGACTCTCAAGGACAGGGAAGCCAGCGATTAAGATGCATTTGGATGGAAATAATAACATATCTGTGGCAAAGGGTGGCATACAAATCTCAAAGCTAAAATTGAAAAGAAAAAAGGAAGAAAAGGAGGGCTCCGTCAAATTAGATGTTTACAAGACTTAACACAGACTAGAGTAGAAATGGCAGTGGCAGAGAGCTTGTGTAGATCATTCTGAAGCCATGGCCTATACGTGGGGCACTAGCTGTGTGAAACCTATTTAAGACTGAGCAGAACATCCACCACCACCCTTCCTCACTGCCTCTTTCATGTACCTGAAAAGTTTTCAGCTCTCTGCAGGGCTTCTTGGAGGTTCACATTCTGTTGCAGAAGTTTTTCCTGCTCTTTGGATTTCTCCTGCAGCTCCCAGGTAAGGGTGTCTATAGTTTCCTTGAGTTTCTTCTCTGAAGCATTTGCTGCTTGCTGCTGGGCTAAGATCTGTCCCTTCAGGATATGTTCTTGGTGAGTAAGGTTTGCTTGGTATTGCTTTAGGAGGTCAGATACCTGGAGTACTAAACCACAGAGAATTAAAACTCAGCCTCTCCTCTTTAGTACAAACGCTGTTACTGAATGCCCAGAACATTAAAACACAGACTTAAATAACCTATCTTGATAGCATGTGTTGACAAAAATGCTTTATGAATTTGAACAGCAATGGAGAAATAAATGTACTTGAAAGGCTGCTGCAGCATAGGGCTCAAAAGAAAATCCACACAGTGTTAGCACATACTAGACATTTTTATCTGAGGGTTTAGAGAAAAAGACAGTCACAAGTCTCTTGATGGTTGCTTTCAGACCTTCCTTTATTCTTCTTTTGCATCTCTACTCTTTGTTTTCTTGGTGATTTCCTTCTCTCCTTCTTGAAACTTTCTAACTCTTTTTCCTTAATGTTTCCTTTCTAGTTCCTTTTAACTCTGCCATTCTTGATGTTGCACTTCTAACTCTCAATCTTGATGTCTTCCTTTTAGCCCATTTTAACTCTATCTTTGTTCTTTTTCTTATAACTTAAATATCGCAACAAAATCTTACAAACTGTAATATAAATATAAATTTTATATTATATATAAAAATTATCATGTGTTTGTGTGATAATATGGGCGGCGGGCCTGCTTTTCATCCTGCCTGGCTCCCACACAGCTAGCTTTACACCAGAAATAACAACACACAAACTGTATTCATTTAAACACTGCTTGGCCCTTTAGCTCTAGCCCTTACAGGCTAATTCTCACATCCCGATCAACCCATCTCTAATAATCTGTGAGCACCGGTCTTACCGGGAAAGGTTCAGCATGTCTAACCTGGCGGCTTGCTTCATCGCATGCGTCTGCCTGTCTTCCCGGGATGGGGGAGCATGGCATCTCTCTGAGGCGTCTGCTCCCGAGAGGAGAGCTGTGGAGTCTGAGCTCACTTCCTCTTCCTCCCAGCGTTCTATTATGTTTACTTCTCCCACCTATCTCTAACCAATGAGAGCCAAGCAGTTTCTTTTTATTTAACCAATGACCTTCCTCCATCATGCTTGCATTATTTTTTCAAGTGAATGAATACAAGTAAAAATATAATGTTTTCAACATCCCTTACAAGAGTAAACATTTTATATATGACAGGTGGAAAGCAAATTACCCAAGAATCCACTTACACTCATATCCAGTCAACTTCCTATAGATTACCATTTAGGCAAGCAAGATATTCTCAGTCAGGTCCTTACTGGCAAGCTGCAGTTTTGCAGTTAAAAAAAAAAAGGACCAGTTACTTTATTACTTATCTTGAAAGGTAATCTCATATAAGGAAACTAAAAGGAATCACAAACCTAAACTTTTATATATGAAAAAGAATCAGGCAGTTCTACTTTAAGTCTTTAGGGGGTATACACCCACTCATCTTTAGTTTCTTATATCGGGAGATTGAGGGCAAAAATGGGCACAAAGAAGTAATTATATCCTTTGGTTACCAAGCAAACCCAGCAAAGAAAATGTAACAACTAGCAACAATTGAAAGTTGCTTTGTGTTGTTGAACCTATAATTCGGCTATGTGTCCTTGTGAACTTCAGATTGTCTTGTTTTTTTTTTTCATCTCAAAGCTATTACCAAAACCTTTGATCTATTCTGAAGTTATTTTAAGGTTTTGTTTCAACTCATGATACACTCCAAAACCTGTAAATACATCATTCAGTCCTAAGAGAATTAGAGACAGTCTGGCTCCTGAGGACTCAATTATTTTCCTTAATCATTAACCTGAACTGCAATCTTGTTCAGCTCCATAGGTGAATTTCATAGTCTCTAGCTGTGTGACAATTCCTTGTATCTATTTTTAATCACCAGAACTCTGTATAAACTAATACTACTATTATCAATTAGACAGTATAATTTAGGAATGAATTATCTCCATAATGATCCACAGGTTAAAAAACAGCAATAGAGGGGCTGGGGAGATGGCTCAGAGGTTAAGAGCACTGACTGCTCTTCCAGAAGTCCTGAGTTCAATTCCCAGCAACCACATGGTGGCTCACAACCATCTGTAATGAGATCTGGCGCCCTTCTCTGGCATGTGGGCATACATGGAGGCAGAATGTTGTATACATAATTAATAAATAAATCTTTAAAAAAAACAGCAATAGAGTAGGGTGTTTCCATGAGATAAACATACTACATTACAGACAGTGGACATCTCACCCCACCCATTGGCACATACCAGATAACAGAGGAAGATGGCAGGGGCAAATATGTAAAGTAACAGCAAAAGAAAAGACACTCTGTGGTCTATGATCTCAGGATCTTGCCTATCCAAGATTCACCATCAAGGATGCTCCTCCTGGTATGTTAACATCCTGAAGTTAATTGCCACCTACTGCTTCTCTGACATGGTCACCAGCATGACACTAGTCAAAAGTCAGTTTTTCTAAAACTTTCTGATTATTTTTGCAAAGTTAAATTGCCCCTTTAATACTAAAAGGGTTTATTTGTCTATTTATTTGTCTATGTAGCCCTGGCTCCAACTCACTATGTAGACAATGCCAGTCTTGAACTCAGGGATCTACCTAACTTTGTCTCCCCAATGTTAGGATTAAAGGTATGTTCCACAATGCTGGGCCTGAAAAGATTTACAAAATGAGTAACTTTACATCAAACCACACATTATCATTATTGTTAAAATCTATCCTCCTCTCAACATTTTTGTCTATACAAAATAAAGTGGCTATCCATACATTACTATATAATATTTACTTAACAAAACTGCACAACTGAACTTTTAGGCAGACAAGCAACAAGGTGGGGAAGTTGCTTTTGAAAGGTGCTTAAGTTCTAATCCTGAAAAGAGCATCCTCATTCGTGCACTCCCCAAGAAAGGGTTGTCTGAATCTGTACACCTAACTCCGTAGTTAGAAGCACATACCTCGCTTGATTACAGAGTGCAAAAAACTCGATAATGTAGAAAGTTTCTGTACTAGCACAAAACTTGGCAGCACAATCTGTTCATTGTCTGCCAACATGGTCTGTTCCCTAGATTACAAATCCCTTTAGACAGATGGAGTCATCTTAATTCCTATACAAACTCACTTTCTAGACCTTTTATTTTTGCTCAACCTGAAGTACCTACGTAAACCTTCCAAGTCAACTGACCTCCATGGGTTGTACTTAAACAGATGTAGTGCCCTTTTAAGAAACAGTGCCTCAGAATGGAGCAAACACAGGAGCTGTGATAAGGAATTACAATAACAGGAAGACTCTCAAGGACAGGGAAGCCAGCGATTAAGATGTACTTGGATGGAAATAATAACATATCTGTGGCAAAGGCAATGACGGGACAGGATGGCACACAAATCTCAAAGCTAAAATTGAAAAGAAAAAAGGAAGAAAAGGAGGGCTCCGTCAAATTAGATGTTTACAAGACTTAACACAGACTAGAGTAGAAATGGCAATGGCAAAGGGCTTGTGTAAGGCATTCTAAAGGCATGGCCTATACGTGGGGCACTAGCTGTGTGAAACCTATTTAAGACTGAGCAGAACATCCACCACCACCCTTCCTCACTGCCTCTTTCATGTACCTGAAAAGTTTTCAGCTCTCTGCAGGGCTTCTTGGAGGTTCACATTCTGTTGCAGAAGTTTTTCCTGTTCTTTGGATTTCTCCTGCAGCTCCCAGGTAAGGGTGTCTATAGTTTTCTTGAGTTTCTTCTCTGAAGCATTTGCTGCTTGCTGCTGGGCTAAGATCTGTCCCTCCAGGATATGTTCTTGGTGAGTAAGGTTTGCTTGGTATTGCTTTAGGAGGTCAGATACCTGGAGTACTAAACCACAGAGAATTAAAACTCAGCCTCTCCTCTCTAGTACAAATGCTGTCAACACAGACTCAAATAATCTCTCTTCTCAACATGTGAGTGTTGACAGAAATACTTCATAAATCTGAACAGCAATGGAAGAACAAATGTACTTGAAAGGCTGTTGGGCAATTACCAAAATTTATTCAGGATTTATGGACCTAGAAGTTATTCAATTGTGTTTTTGTAATTGCATATCTATTGCAATTTTCATTATAACCATGCAGATATTTCTTAATAAAAAATTCAACAGCTTTATTTTTGTTGAGATTTATGTACAAAATAAACGTAATGGTGGGAGTGGTAATAAGGTGCAGGCGGTGGCGAAGGGGTGACAGGTAGGGTTATAACTCAATGGGGGAGGGCTTAGTCAGCATGCTAAAGCCCCTGGGTTCTATGTTTAGTTTGGAGAGAAAAAAATAAAGGCAAAGAATGAGGATGTGCTCTGCAGATCCCACCCCTACTTGAGGAGCTATTGGCAATTGGTTGCTGCTGGAAAGGAAGAGTCAGTTTTGTTCATGAATGTTGTTCCTGTGAGATTCCCTATGCTCCAGCAGATGGCCCTATACCCATGCTCAGATAGGCAGCAGTAAGTGGTTTAAAATTAAAAGCAGAACACATGAAATTCAGAGGAAAAGGAGGGTTGTGGGAGAAGAATGGGGGTGTGTTTGATCAAAATGGATTATATATATATGATTGCAAAATTCTCAAACAATAAGGAAGTAAAATAAAAATTTTTAAGTAATGACAAGGAGAGAATTAAAAAGGAAGACCATAAAATGTATGCTCATGGAGGGCCCCAGAAAGGGGAAATAGTTAATATCTCCTGGGTAAACTGGGAGGGGGATGGGGGATAGAAACATGAGGGATCGAGATGGCTGAGTTGGGGGAGAGATGGAGATGGAGAACAACGAAAGAGATAACTTGATAGATGGAGGCATTATGGGGCTAGGGAGAAACCTGGTGCTAGGGAAATCTCAAGAATCCACAAGGGTGACCCCAGATAAGACTCCTAGCAACAGTGGAGAAGGTGCCTGAACTGGCCTTCCCCTTTACTTAGATTGCTGACTACCCTAAGTGTCATTATAGAACCTACATCCAGTAACTTATGGAAGCAGATGCAGTGATCCACACCCAAGTACTGGACTGAGCTTCTGGAGTTCAGCTGAAGAGAGGGAGGAGGGATCACATGAGCAACGGGAGTCAAGATCTTGATGGAGAACCACAGAGACAGCTGCCTACCTGAGCTGCTAGGAGCTCACAGACGCTGGTCTGACATCCGGGAAATGGACTGAAGTAGGCCTTCTGAATGTGAATGGCAGTTATGTTGTTTGATCTGTTTGGGGGTGGGGTTTGTGCTGGCAATAGGACCAGGACTTATCCTGGATGCCTAAACTGGATTTCTGAATCCCATTTCCTATGGTGGGATACCTTGCTCAGCTTTGATGCAGGAGGAAGGAGCTTAGTCCTGCCTCAGTTTGGTATGCCAAACTTCATTGACTCCCCAAGGGAGGCCTTACCCCCTCTGAGGAGTGGGGTGCCCTGTGGGATGGGGGATGTGGAAAGTCATAGAAGGGGAGGAAGGGGAAAATGGGGTTGGTGTGTAAAACGAAAAAAAAATATTAAAAAAAAGTAAGTTAAAAGAAGAAATAGTATAATGGAAAAGATATAATATTGGCAATCTATAGTAGTCACCTCTCCCCTAGACCCTAATGCACAGGAGGAAATGCCATTAGCAATTTATTCGCTTATTTCCTCTTTAGCTCCTCCCACTCTGTCTATACCACATACTTCCTAATTTTATTTAGGAACTCTGACAATTGCTTTCATTTTTAAGGCAACCACCCATGAAATATTTGTGAATTTCTGTACGGTATCATTGACAGTAAATTTTATTTGAGCCATAGAACAGTTTGGGGTGGTGGAGACAGAACAAATGTTGTATAACCAGGCAGAAATGAACTCTGTTTTGGGAACTCAGCTCAGTTCTAGTGCAACTTGCTGCTGACCCTCTGCTTCAGGGCCTGATCTGAGTCTGCTGAATAGTGATGTACACCCCACTTCAGACTGCTGCCATCGAGTGGGATCCCATGCACCTCATTAGGAAAGGCCTCAGGCACCCACAGACAATTTAAAACAAGCAAACAAACAAAAACAAAACAAAAATTGCCCAGACTTAGACACGTAGGAAACAAGTGGTGCTTCTGGGACCTTGTATTTTGAATCTGGCTGGCAGAATAATTCAGTCCTGAAACCTGCAGGCTAATGCAGAGACAACCTTATCTTTCCTTCTTGGCCACTCTGGTCTTTTTTCTCGTGCCTTCTTTTTCCTTCTTAGTATCTCCAATTTCCTACATGTTATAAATTCAAAGTACTTTTTGCTGCTAATGTTTTACTTACTTTCAGGAGGCAACTAAGATTTTTAACAGTTTATAAGATCCATCCAAATGAAGCTAAATGGGTTTTCATTTCCTCTTTAGTTGCTCAGATAACCCTATGTATTATAACCTTCAAGTTATTATCAAATTATTCTAGAATGCAAATAGGCTCATCCAAGAAATTATGAAACAAAACAAAAACACTCCACTGTGAATAATCTCCATTCCATGCTCCTCTCTGGTGGAGGTAAGAACACAATATATTCATTAAACTCTTGGCTTCTTCTCCAAGCATTTTGCCCAAAATAAGTCTAAATCTAGACACACTTATCGTTATTACCAGATGTGTTCATCAAGCCCATCCCCCACCTCCAGTCCCTTATTTTAACACTTACATTGCATCCACTGTAAAATAAGGGTCACTGATAACCCCAGGCACACGATGATGAGAACCATTGCAGCAGGGCACCACCATGGGGACAAAAGAAAAAGCAAACCTGCAGGGAAGGAGAACCAGAAAATTGAAGACAGCAAAGGCAGATAGATCATCACGCTGGGCTCTGGATCTTGTCTTGCTCTGTGCTCTGCACGGCTTAGCCCCCTCCCCAACCTCACAGGACCTGCATATGTGCAGGTGGAACAATGGATGGTTATGGAACTGAAGCAAATGGACTGACATGGGATAAAATAACAGCTGGGGTTCAGTGGGGCATCCAACACCAAATACTTGATTTAAAGCTTTAACTTCATCTGTTCTATGCACAGTGCCCTCGGAAGAACTCTCAGTGCAGCCTAACTCCATCTACGGTGCAGAAAGCCTGACTTCTGCATACCCATGGACACAGGTGTTCCTAAGTAACATCTGACATTTACATACACATGTGTACAGGTACTCTTAAGTAATATAGTGCAAACTGCTGTCAGACGTCAAGCAAAATATTTTAATCAGTCACCTGAGATTTCCTCAAGAAATTTTATGCCTGATATCATACCATTCAATTTTCATTCTAACAAAACTGCCTCTTGAAACTAGAGTTATTTACCAAAGGAAACTAGGGAGAAAGCCTCGGTATGCACTTGACTGATAGCAATAGCTTGCCTTGTGCTTAGGTTAAGTGTGGCAAACCCCCTACATTAAGTAGAAAAATAAAACTGAGTGCTCAGTACGGCAGGAGATCATTAGATATTTCCTCCCTGAAGTGTAGCAAGTCAGCTAAAATCGTTATTCCAGCTAGGATTCTGATAATGACGGTGGCTGACATGAAGTAAGCTCAGGTATCTAGGCCTATTATCTCCAGAGAAAAAGTCGCCTTATTTATGAAAACGAGCCATGCAGCTCTGACGTAAGACATAACTCTGACATGAGAATGTACAGTTATATATCCCAGTATTGAATAACCAAAGGAATTACAGACGCAAGAGAAAAACATCACACACAATGTATTAGGCTTCCTCCCCTGTAAGACAAACGGAACACTGATAATGTTCTCCTTTCTATGTAAAGAAGAAACCAGAAGCTTCAGTCACTAGCTTGAGAGCACACATGCAATAAAACTTAGGAGGTAGATTTTTGGGTTTTATGTTGTTCTTGCTTGAGACAATGTTTACTTTTTACTCCACATTGTCTTGGAACTCACTAAGTAGACCAGGATGGCCTCAGGCTGGTGAATTTTCTTGCCTCAGCCTCCCTAGTGCAGTACCAGGTCTGACTCCAAATACAGGCCTTTAATCTAATACTAGTAAACCACAAGGCTTGGTGTGTTGCATTACCAAGGTGTCAGTATAAATGTGGTAAATGTTCAAGTCAATCAAGGGTCAAATATATTCACAGAGTTCTCATGTTTTAATAATTTCTGTTAGACTCTATAGATACTTTTTTTTTAAAGATACGAATTGTGACTGGAGGAAACACAGCTTATTCTCTGCCTCAACTATTTCTGTCTCTGTACTTGTGGTGAGCTGGGAGACAATAGAAGAGAGTAATAACTTTTACAAAGGGTTACCTAATCCTGACACCTGGCCCCATGGAGCTGTGTGTAAGAACACCTTTATCTTTCACACACTCCAGTACTCATTCAACACTGTAATACCCACGGCTCAAATGAGAACACCAATCCCGTGAGCCACCCATGTGAAACGGAGACACCTATTCCTTTTATCTACAGGATACCTTCCCCCCGTCTCAGCGGCAGAAATTTTTGTGGTCTAATTCACCTGACTTACGGATTTCAGTCAGAAAACAACCCTTAGTCAATCAATAAAGAAACAAACAAATACTTCCTCACTGAATTCAGTGCCTAGTACATACAGTTCACAGTAGGTCACTAATCTAACCAGGGACCTTAAAGAATTAGTCATATTTATCGCAAAAGTCAGGCAAGCAATAGTTATTGCACAAATAATGAATGAATGGTTGAACAAATCACTTACTGACATTATCTCCTGAATCTACTATTCAACACTTGCAATTCTTCACAACAAGCTAGTTCAACTTAAACTAAACCCCAGTACTGTCTTCACTCTGAGCTAGTTCAGCCACTCATATATTAAATCACACCATACTCACCCTTATTCTACCCACGGAAAGATTCCAGTCTTGTTTACAGACACAGTCTATCTTTCTTCCACTTTTTATGTTTTGTACCCACACCAGCCCCCGCCTACACACACACACACACACACACACACACACACACACACACACTTTCTCTGTGTAGTCCTGGCTGTCCTGGAACTCACTCTGTAGATCAGGCTGGCCTGCTCCTGCCTCCAGCCTCCAGCCTCCTGGGATTAAAGGTGTGCAACACCACTTCCCAGCCTCTTTTCTCTTAATTTTATAAAATAATAGGCATTTTTCTGTAGTTGTCTACATAATTGAGCTTATCAATTAAACCTATGGCCAAACATAAACTATAAGTTTTCTAAGCAATGATAGACAACCAAGTCTAATGTGTGATCAGCCATACTGAATATACTGAATCACTTTAGATAATGCATAAAGCACGTCAGATTTTTATAGTACATTAACAACACACATAAAAATACTGTGTGCTGTGAATGAAAGCATTCCCTATAGTTTTTCTTTATATGGTTCCGCAAAAAATAAGTGACTTCATTAATCCTGATTCTGGGTTCGCTCTCTGTAGAGGGAGATAATATTGGCAGCACTCTTGAAGCCTTCAGGATAATGAGAAGTCACTGATGTAAAGAGATAACAGCTTACAGTGAAGATGTAGCAAAGGCAAGTTATTAGCTTGAGTTCTACTTGTTGTTCTTCTAAATAAGTGGTATTAGCCTCTTGTATTTCCTGATATTCTAATGTTTTTGCTTTTTAAAGTCATTCTCCTGAACATTTAATTTGAATTTCTAAGCTGAGCTGGCATTCTATCTCTGTAAGCACCCACCCATCCCTGGTACCTTTAGCCTTCTTATGACATGACTTCTGGTCAGGCTGCTCATTCACAGACTTCATCTTGCCATCAAAAGTCATTTCCAAATTCATGCCAAAAATGAGAAGCTGAAGCAGTCAAGGACCTCAACCAACTGCCAGTGAGTGAGCTTCTGGTGCAGTTTAAGTAGCCGTTCTTATCTAGCAGGGGATGACTCAACCGTCGCAGGAGGAAGGGGAGACTTTGCTTCATATTGGAAAGTTGGCTAACACGAATTCTTAGGTTGTGTCTGTTGTGGGTGGGGAGAATGGTAATTCCAGTCCTGTTTCGTGACCTTTCCCTAAGAAACAGACAGCAGGCAAAAAGCAGGGTCCACGACAATTATAGGAAAGACACTGTAGACTTATCAGATAAGCTTCTTTGAAGCTGAAAGAAGCACATGCTTCAAGCCAGGTTTGTAGAAAGGAATGTGACTTAATTTTCCACATTTTTCCGTTTGCTGATTCACTCAAGCAGATTGTCGCTGTATGCTACCTTTTTATAAGTGGTACATTTTACTTTTCGCTGCTTTGATTGGCAATTAGAAATGTAATATAAATCATGGAAGATTCCCATGTCTAGCCATAGTACCATGGGTATTATAATGCTCAGTAGGGGCAGTCTTGACCATGGTGACTCTCAACAACAGTATGAGCCCTTTGGTACTAAATAGAGTAAGGTTTTATATCTTCTCCTGAATCTGTCATCTTGGAAAAATGCTTATATTGAATTTATATATTTGTCTGTGATTTGAGGATAATGTATATTTTGATAGTGTTTCAATAGCCAGCTATAGTGGCATAAGCTTTTAATTCCAGCACTTAGTGTGGGAGGTGCAGAACCAAGTGGATTTACACGAGTCCAAAGCCAACCTGGTTTAAAATACTGAGTTCCAGGACAGCAAAGTCATTATAGTGAGTCTTGTCTCAAAAAAAAAAAAAAAAAAAAGGAATTATAATATCTCAATAGGAACTTAAAAGATACTGTGAGAAATGTAGGTGGGACATAAAACTCAGAAATAATAAGTAAAATTACTATTAATTCTTATATCCAGGATAGTTACATTGACCATAATAAAATATGTTTTAGTCTGACCAATACTTCCTGGGATTTTAACCCCTATACCTGTCCATAGAAGGAATCTTCACTTGTTTTCTCATCATGAAATAATACATATCTTTTTGAAATAATTTATATTTTTAACGTGTGTGTGTGTGTGTGTGTGTGTGCTTGTGTGCGCGTTTGTTTGTATGCATGCACAACACAGGTATATTTGGAGGTCAGAGGACAACACAGGTATTGATAGACCCTGGTCACCCACTGATTAAGCAAAGGTCTCTTATTTGCTGATTCATGCTCCAGGCTAGCTGATCTGAAAGATTCCATGATCCTCTCCTATCTCTGCCCTCCATCTCACAGAAGGAGTATTGAGATTACAGACAGGGGAGTCTGTAATGGGCATTAACTGAGTTCTGGAGATCCTATCTTAAGTCCAGTTCTTGTGTGAGCCTTTGTAAAAAGGAATCCCTTACCTGCTAAACACGTTTTCTGGAGGTTGTGTGTATACAATTCTACAGTAGCTAAATTTTGTTTTAAACCACTTAGAGAAAAAGTGGAGTGGGAAAGGGAGAGATAAAAGAAGAATGGGTAAGGCGTCTAGGAAATCACATAGGAAAAACCACCAATCCTGACTTTTGTCCTTCCTCCATGCTGAGCGTTTTGTTTTCCCTCTTTCTGTGTAGGATATCCAGCACAAGCTGAGAACAACTTTTCTGCCGTTTAAAATTTGCTTCTGTCACACAGTTCACAAAACAGCCGACAGAGCCAACACAACCTTATCCAAGATAAAAACAAAAAGCAATGCCTCTCTTACCTACTCCCTACCCCTGTTTCCTAGCTGAGGAGTGAATGCCAGGAATTGACTGTATTCCTCAATTTCCAAAGTGGCCTTTTCAGTTTCACTTTCACTAAGATTCAGTAGAATCTCAGGAAATTTCTTATAGTGATGAATTAACAATCCCTGAAACGGCAGTACGATGAGAAGGGCGCTTTATTATTCCCACAGTGACTCATTTATCTCAGACACTATCAATACCGAAGAATATAAACTACGCAATGACTGATATTTTAGCTACTGTAGATGTACTGCTTAAGGTCGCACTAAGTCCACTCACATTGTCATACAGCTGTCACCACCACCCATGCACAGTGTTCCCATCTTTTCTCGCTAAAAATGTTCTCACAGTTCCAGTGATGGTTCATTCTACTTCCTGCCTTGTCTGGATCACTTGATACCTAGACAAAATGTTTGGGAATAGAGGTTAATACTGTATACCTATTTCCTCTAAATTGAAACATTTCTTTGTGGATGAGGGAAGGGTGGGATGGATTCTTTGGTCCGTCCTTGTTTCCCTATCTGTGATGAACAGATTTTGTTCACATCTTGCCATGAAAAATCACACATCAATCAATCAGTAAAGATAGATGGCCTATTTATATTTTGAAGGAGATTCAAAATATGAAGGCCAAAAGAACAGAAGCAACTATCCGCCACTGTGTAATGAAACATTTTCTAACATATGACCTTTGGGCTTCGGTTTCAACACCTGCTCTTTCTAGTCTTTATACTGGTCTTTGCACAGGAATTAGACCCTCCCTTGATTCTTCTGCATCCTCATTTTTCTAGGTAGCTCTGCAGGTTCCGACTAGACAACCCCTATTGTCACATGAAACAATCTCATCTTAGAAACTTCTGTCTTCATATCCGCACATTCCATCAATTCTTCTTCTCTGAAACATTCTATTGACCACTCCCCCTCCTCCTTGAAATCAACCCTTTATTTTCTGTCCCTTGAATTTTGATACTGTACTTGGTGCCAGATTTCTAATTCCGGAACAAACTATCTGAGGTAATGAATACACAAGGAGGAAGGCTTTATATTGGCTTTTGGTTTCAGAAACATCATCAATCAATAGTCAATTATCTCCAATGGTTTTGAACCTGTGGTGAGACAGAAAATCAGCATGAAAAGATGCTCAGGTTGTGGAGCTAGGAAAGTAGGCAGTCTCATTCAAGGACCTGTTCTAGAACCTCTCTTTGGTCCTACAATCTCCTAACAGTGGACACAGACTGGAAACCAGTCCTTCAACACTTGAGCCTTTGGAGGACATTCAATCTCTATTACCTCATGTTAGTAAAAGAAACTGCCAGTTTTCTTTTCATGTTTGAGTTAGTTTGCTGAAAAATGTGTCTTCAAGTTTCATCTATATTACAGCACAGCTTAGAATCCCCTTTCTTTATGTAGACTACTGTATTTTATCTTTTCACTTGTTGATGTGTTTATCTTGTTCTCTCTCTCTCTCTCTCTCTCTCTCTCTCTCTCTCTCTCTCTCTCTGTGTGTGTGTGTGTGTGTGTGTGTGTGTGTGTGTGTGTTGCTCTTGATACAGGGTCTCACTATGTAGTCCTGGTTCAAACTCACAGAGACCCTCTTGTCTCTGCCTCCCAAGTGCTAGAATTAAGGTGATGCCACACCACCACACTCGGCCTTTTCTCTTGCTCCCAAACATCTTCAGAGATAAGTTTCCAAGAAACTGTAAAGACTTAAACGAATACAGGATGCTCCATGACCCCTACCTCCTGGTGTCACAGCTTCTCTTTGAGGATGTATTCTCAGTGCTATAACTTAAAATGTAGCAAAGGTCAAAGAATGCAGGTGGTCATGCAGAAGGAATTACTTCAGGCGCATGATGAGTGTGCTGAAACCTCTCTTTTCCTGTGTCTGTCTCCACACTCATCATTAGAATGTAAAGAAATGTTTATTAGTTGCCTAAAGTTCTTTGTCCATAAGTGGGGTCCTGTGAGACTTCCCACTTTCACCTCCATTGCCCGTGTTGAGGTCCAGTTTAGGCACTGTGTTTTCAAGGTTCCATGAGTGATACTGATGTTGAGAGAGGAGAGATAAACTTCTCCATGGAAGAGCTCCCTCAGTGATCATCCAACACCAAGTGGTCAGTCCTGAAATCAGCCAACCATGTTCATACAAGTAATACTAAATGGAATGAGCAGGAAATTATGTAATTATATTTCAACTAAATCTTTTTAAAGTATGATTACATTAATCCCATAGCCACTAAGAAATACATTCTACCTAAGAGAGCTTGCAAGTGGGCCCTCTACCATGACAGCCTTCTGACAAGGATGCTGTTAACCAGAAACCTTGATGTCAGCCTTATAGAATTCCAAGCAATAGACTCAGCTAAACTGTATACAGACTTCTTGCCCTGCTGGGAATGCTACTCATAGTGTGTGTGTGTGTGTGTGTGTGTGTGTGTGTGTGTGTGTGTTGTCTTATACTGTTGCTCATACGATTTGTAGTAATGAGCTTCATGACATCTTAACCAGACATCCTAATTTTTCTGTCTGGTACTCTAAGTTTAGCGCAAATCTCTGAGTTGGATCACCAACACTGCGCTAAGGGGGAGTGATGGCACATGCTTGTAATCCCAGCACTGGGAAGGTAAAGACAAGATCAGAAGCCAAGGTCACTCTTAGCTACAAAAAAAGTTTGAGGTCAGACATGAATCTATGTCTCAAGGGTGGAAACACTTTCAGTTTAATCCGGTCACTAATTTTCAGTGCCTCTGAGGTTGGAATTCAGTATCTATGCTCTGATCTTGGCTCCAAAAGCAGAGACGCTTCCTAGTGAAACACCCAGGAGTTTTAGAATGAAACTGACTTCTGCCTCCTTCTCTATTCTTGAAATCATGTTTGTGGGCCAAACCACTTCTCAGCCGTATGCATCTTGATGTTAGTGTCTCTAAGTACCCATAGTCCTGGCCTCTGTTTAATTGAGGCATGGAAAGAAAGAAGAGCATAGAAGGAGCCCCTGACAGCCAAGGTCAAAGGAGAATAATCAAAGGAACCACAGGTTAGTAATTATTTGGCTACACTTGTTAGAGTGGTTGTATAACAATTCCCTGAAGCACAGGTGAAGAGGTCTGTGTTTGGGTACCTCCCACTGGCCCTGGTCCCAGCTCTTTATAACATGAATATAAGGTAATGATTCACAAGCTTAATGGGATGGGGAAATGTAGGTTGGTAATAAGAATATTTCCATCTTCCCTAGCTCCATGCCCACCCCCATCCTTATGCCATGGAGACCTTCAGTTTTCTTCTCTGACTGGTCTTTCCTTTACCATTGTTTCTTACTTAAAGGATGTGATTCTAATGTGTCACAGGGCATGACACATTAAAATAAATGAATTAAGTTTTATCTCCTTGGGAGATAGGAAAAAATGGTACCAGTAATTCTGAAAAAGAAAAACAAGGCAGTCATTAACCGAAGCCTGTTTTGTTCGGGCCTGTTAAGAAGCTTGGGGGCAAGAAAGATGATTACAATCATGTGGTCAGAAATTGCCACCGGGAGAAAGTCAAAGTAATTGGGAAACCTGTTTATTCAGGTGAAGGCTGGTATGGGTAGACATAATGGTGGGGTTAACCATGGGAACTGTTCAAGGAAAGGAATAGTGCAATCTAGAGAGGGCTGGTAGAAAAGTGGGATAGGCATGGTGGACATTAATGATCCAGCATACTGGAAAGAACCATTGCATATAAAACAGAGCTAAATTAAAAACACCTTAACTAATATCAAATGCTTGCTACCAGAGCTGTGGTATGCATCATAAACATTCATTTTTTTTTTTTTTAGTTTATCTTTATGAGTATTTTGCCTTTGTGTATATATACTCACTGCATACCTGCCTGGTCCCCAAGAAGAAAGTGTCAGAGCCTTCTGGAACTGGAGCCACTCCAGTTCATGAGCTACTATGTGGGTGCTGAGAACTAAATTACTTTTTGTATCAAATCAAACTGAGTTGACAGAGAATGGAAGGCCTTGTCCATAATCCAACAGCTCACAAGGGGTTAAACAAGCAGCTGCCTCAACCCCCTGAGCTATGCTTTTAGCCATGGTTGTTTATGCTTTTTCCCAGAAGAAGAGGAAAAGGGAGGGATCCGTGGGGTTTTTCCACTACATGGTGTCTGAACAGAAATATTCTACGCAAGAGGCTTCCTTGTCCGGAATTGTCCTTTCTCTATTAAACAAAAGCAAATGCAAGTCTAATGAACATCCATTGTGCTCCCTACTGTATGACTAGGAGCAGTAGGGCCAGGCCTAGTAAAAGGTTGTAACTAATGCTTCACTCTCTGGTCACTACAAAAGTCCTTCCATCTCACAGAAACTTCCGTGGAAGTCTGGAACACACTTTTCACTCAATAGCCTATGTTTTAAAAATAGACAAATAGACTTGGGAAGACCAACATTGTACCAGGGAGTTCCCTCGCTGTTTGCTTTCCTTAGCTGTGAAAAGGAAACTGTTTAAATTCTACATTCCTGCATCACATAGTCACAGTGTGATCATAGGGTTTGTGAGGCTCTGAGTGTGAAGGAGCCCACCCCCCCCCACCCCCGCAGCCTCCCCTCAACAGGATGCCACCCTGCAGCCTCCCCTCATGAATTAGAAAACAGTTGAGATGTGGTTTTCTTCAGTCTTTTGAAACGGACATATCGCTGTAAATTAACCCTGAATGTTCTTACTTAGCACTTTGCACTGCTTAAGAATTCCTGCTTAAATGTCAGACATTCACGTGATATTCACTGTTTCCATACAAGAATGTTCTTTATAACCATTTTCCATCTTTTCCATTGTGGTGCACTTATTTTTAAACATGACTGTAAGTGTTATTTTATTGAGGATAATATGTTTTTTGAGATAGAAGTCTTACTGTTTCCTAGGAAAGTCTCATGTTACTGAACTAGACTCAAATGATCCGCTTGCCTCAGCCTCCTGAGTCGATGAAACCGCAGCTGTACATATTGTGCCTGGTTCTCAAGTGACAACATCACAGTACTGCTTTGAGAGGGGTGGGTATCACAAAAAACAGAAACAGAGGGGGTTTTCTTGGAAATTAGTTTTATATACGGTGCCTGTGTGTCCAGTTTGGTTAGATGGGATTGAAACTGATGTAGATTGGGGACTGGGAAGATTGATAGCACCGGAGAGTCTAGTTTTAAAACCCATTTCTTACTCTAATGATGGGACGGCTTTCTGGCTCATTTGGAATCCCTCAGTCCTGCTGAGTGGTTGCAATAAATGACCCAGAACTAGCAGGGTTGATGATCAACATAGTGAGGGAGTTTTCAAGGATCAAGGAGGGGGATGCCAATCACACGGAGAGGGGGCGGAGGGAGATTGGCAGCATGACTTTCAGACTTTAGCGGTCATCCAGGAGCCAAGATTGTAACCAGTTTCCTGATGAACACAAGAACGCATCTGGTCACTCGCAATCTGCCTTTGACCTATTTCAAACCTAAGTTTCTCATTATGGACTAGAAAAAAGTCTAATTCAGAGGACAAATGTATCCTTCAATGCCTTTCCATTAGGGGCAGAGGGGGAAAGATTAAATACATAGAAAGGCTTGATAACCAAAAGGAAAGGAAGAAGAAACAAATGGGGAGACCATGTGAAGAAAAATAGAGAAAACCGAGGAAACTAAAAGGGAAAAGGAGGGCGAAATCCTGGAATTTGAAGGCAAGAGGAATAGAGGGAGAGGGATATTGATTTATTGCTGAGAAAAGTTCTCTCTTTAGGAATTCTGGACCACGAAGATCCACATGGCACCGAGCATGGATAGGATACAGCAGATGCACCCAGCATGATGTTTCTGGACCAGGTGTTCAGTCTAATGGCAGTCCGCACCCGAGTGGTGATGACCTCTGTCCTGGTTTACTTCATCCAGGTGAGTTCAGCTGTGAAAAGGTGAGAAGAACCTTTCTTTTGTTTAATTATTATTATTATTATTATATACTGACTCTGAGAGGAGATGGATGGGATAATAAACAGATGTAGTGAGGAAAGAGTATCACACATTGGTCCCTAAGTACTGAGGAGTCTTGTTTGTGTGTATGTGTGTGTGTGTGTGTGTGTGTGTGTGTGTGAGAGAGAGAGAGAGAGAGAGAGAGAGAGAGAGAGAGAGAGAGAGATGAACAATGTCCATGGAAAGAGCGACAGAAGTTAGGGCAGTTAGAGACGGTACATGCTGCTACATCCTGCTTTAACAAGGCTGGTAAGATTCAAACTGAGGTCCTCTTGCTTATCCATTGAACCATCTCATTAGCCCCAGACTCTTTAATACTATTTTAATATTTTAAACATTTTATTTTACCCCCATGGTGAAAGAGAAGCCCGTGAGTCATCCATTTGTTGAGAAAAGGCTAGATAGATAGAGTTTCTGGACAAACACCAGGGCCAAGTTCACACAGTAGGAAGTCTAGCAGGGACAGAAACAGTGCAGAAACTAAGCTGGGTCACATTCCTATGCAGGAAGCAGCCTGTCTGCTTGACTTCCCACACAACTTAACTGATACATGAAAGTACAGTTTTTTCTTGTATGTTCTCTTGGCTTCCTCTTTTTCTTCTCATCGTTCCCCTTCTTTCTTTGTAACATCTTGTCCCTCTATTGCTCTTCTTGTTTGATGAGTTACTGATATATTAAAGACTGTTCCTAAGTTCCAACTGGGCAAGGACAAGAAAGACAATCCCAATGACCTAGGGGATGGGTCAGGAGATTTCTAGGGTGACAAACTGAAAGAGGGGCTGTCCATCATTCCCAAAGGTAGTGATGCTCAGCCACTATCCAAACCACATATAAGATCCCTGCCCTCGCAAGGAGCTTGTGACTTGTGAGAAGTAGCCATAGGCAAATGAATGAACAATGTCACAAGCTATTGCAGACCAACCCTATGGCAATGTCCTTGTCTTTACAACTAGGTCTGAGACAGCACAGGCCTAAGAGATGATTGTCAGGCTGCTGAAGGCTGCAGATGTGACCATTTTCCTGTCTGTGATTATTTCTTTCCCACAGCTTTCTGGAGCCAGATGTGAGGAGAACTGTGTCAACGCTGAACAGTAAGTGTCTGAGAGTTCAAGCTGAGAGCAAGGAAAGACAGACAAAGCACCAACACCCAAACATAGGCTAAAACGTCAGTACATAGCCCCGACTTCCCCTTCTACTTAAGTGGGCACCACCCACCCGCACAGACATGTATGTCATCCGAAGTGCTCAGAATAACCCGGCCAATAGCACTTTTTGTGAGACTGTCTTCTTCCCATCAGCATAGCACAAGTAGTTTAGATACACGTAGTCAAGGAGACCTGCAAATGGCTTCCTTAGCTGTGCTTTCCAGTGATTCATCAGGGCAGACTGGGCTCAACAGCCAGTCACTGCCTTATCTCAGGGTGATTCTCATAGTAGCAGATCCACTTCAAATCCTTAGCTTCAAATGAGGCCAGACGTAACAATCCTTTTCATCTAAGGAAAAACACACATTTGCTGTAGAACCATTTCCCTGAAGCCAACTCTCTCAGATGTGAGGGGTATGAAGCATAAGGATCACCACGATGACTTGACATGTGTATATTTGTTATTGGCTACGAGACATTTGAGGATTTGGACGTCTGCCACTTTATGGAGTCTAACATAGAAGTGAAAGGTTTGAACAAATAATGAGTGGGAGGAGCAAGATGATACACTATTCCAGGGGAAACACAAGCTGCATTTTCTATGGAACTGTGGCCAAAAATGGAATGCAAGAAGAGATCTCAATACACATTTAGTAGACAGTATTTCTTTTTTTTTCTTTTCTATTTTTTTTTTTTTTTTTTTTTTTTTTTTTTTTTTTTTTGGTTTTTCGAGACAGGGTTTCTCTGTGGCTTTGGAGCCTGTCCTGGAACTAGCTCTGTAGACCAGGCTGGTCTCAAACTCACAGAGATCCGCCTGCCTCTCTGCCTCCCGAGTGCTGGGATTAAAGGCGTGTGCCACCATCGCCTGGCTAGACAGTGTTTCTTTAAATTATTATTTTAATGACAAAACTGCTACATCTTTAAAGATACATATGTTCCTCTGACTCTCGATTTTAGTCTCTCCCACGCTGTCCTCCTTGTCATCTCTGCAGAGAAAGTTTATAACTGCCCAAGCTAGTTAGCTCTCCTTGTGTGAATCCGGCCTGTGCCTTGTCTCCCTTCCTGTTTCATCTCAGTGCATGTGCCCATCTGACCTTAGATGTGAAAGGGTAGGCCCTTCATAGGGGTAGGATGTTGCAAGAACTTGTGAAATATAAATTACAAATGTGACTTCTTTCATGCCTTCAACTGACATTTTCCTGGTGTGTACATTTCATTGGCCGCATGTTCACATGAATTTAATGTTCCTGTCTGTTTTCCAAGTTACTTCTTAAAAATGTGTATGCCAAATTCTTTCTTGACAATTTCCAACAGAGCTGCTCACAGTAGCCATGTGGAAATTTTCTATTCCCTTTCCTTTATGTAAGTTTAGAAAGAATTAGGTTTCATCATGCCATTTTTCAAACAAAATTTGTTATAATTTTTTCTCTTTTCTTCTTTTCCTTTTTCAGGCTCCTTAATTCTTTTCATAGCCACTCTTTTTAACGCAGTATTTAGGGACCAGAAAATGATTTGCACAGCAATGCCATTTTTTTTATACAAAACTCTATTCAACTAGTTACATTGGACTTTTAAAAATGTTTGTTTTAGTTGAGCATGGTGGCACATACTTTTAATCCCAGCAATGGGGAGGGAAAGGCAGAAGAATCTCTGTGAATTCCAGGTCAGTCTGATCTACAAAGTGAGTTTCAGATCACCCAAAGCTACAAAGTGAATCATTGCAAAAAAGAAGAAGGAGAAGGAGAAGGAGAAGAAGAAGCAGAAGAAGAAGAAGAAGAAGAAGAAGAAGAAGAAGAAGAAGAAGAAGAAACTTGTCTTGATGTTTGTGATTATAACATAGTATTAAATGTAACAACATGATTATTTCAGCTCACACTATTGATTTTTAATATAATAAACTTCATTCTTTCTCCACAGTTGTTTGTCCACTGACTGGGTGCATCTCTGGTATATATGGTAAGTTTGAGCTATATAATACCCACAAAGAGACTTCCTTTTTCAGGTGCATTATTTTTTTCAGTTTTTTATATGCTAACTATTAGTACAAATAAAAGTGTAGCTCTAATTCACAGTATAGTTTTCTTGGTTCACCTTTGTGAGAATACACCATGATTTCCTATTTCAATATACTCTCTTCATCAACATTGAGGGGTTATAATGTCTTTCCACCAGCATGTGCTTAAGAAATACTTTTGCACAGCGGAGTGAGAAGCAGCTACTTCAAACTATCTTCAGTACTGTTTGCCCTCATGACTGACAGTCTTGCTGAAAATTAATGACTGATATATGCAAAATGAAATCAGATGATTCAAGCCATATAAAAGATGACTAGCGATCAAGATCATACATTAAGGGGTAGTTATGTCAGAGCAGGAAAGAAGCCCATCACAGCTTGGACTTAACAGGTGGACTCTTGCAGGTTGCTGGTGGTAGTTGGTGCGTTGCTTCTCCTGTGCGGCCTGACTTCAGTATGCTTCCGCTGCTGTCTCAGCCGTCCGGAAAATGGGGAAGATGGGACCCCACAACCCTATGAAGTGACCGTCATTGCTTTTGACCATGACAGCACTCTCCAGAGTACCATCACATGTGAGTGCACTCAACTTAGATAACCAAGAAAAGGGGCTCAGGTTCAAAGAAGTACAAAAGGTATGGAGGTGTAGGGAGAACTGCCAGCTAGCATTGTGTGTTTGGGAATTCAGAGTAATTTTAATTGCCAGAAACACATTGTGTGACCTGGGCTATCACTGATGCCTGTATTATCAAGTTTTTTGTCTGCTAATAAATCGATGAACAAAGTAAAATGTTAGAGCCAAGGTTCACCTTCCTTCATTTATTGTTCCCTCCCTTCCTCCCTCTCTTGTCCTCTGCCTGCCTTCCTCCCTCCCTCCCTCCCTCCCTCCCTCCCTCCCTCCCTCCCTTCCTCCCTCCCTCCCTCGCTCTCTCTTTCTCTCTTCTCTTCTCCTCTCCTCCATCCCTCCATCCTTCCCTTCACTCCCTCCCTCTCTCTCTGTCTCACTCTCTCTCTCCTTCCTCTCTTTCTTTCCCAATAGAGTCTCATATAACCAAGACTGACTTCTGATTCTCCTACTTTTCCTCCTTCTCCTCAGGAATGTTGACATTCAAGTTTGTACCATCACCTGGCTGCATTCTCTTTCTTTGCTTTTCTTATATTTTTTGTGAGACTGGGAGTAGAAGCCAGGATTGCACGCAGACTGGAAAAATATGTTACTTATGTGAGCTCCCAGACTCTTAGATTGTTTTTATTTCAAGAAATAGTACTGGTAAATTGACCAGGTTATCCTTGAATTCAACTGTAGGTCAGGCAGGTCTTAAGATATAATCCTCCTGACTCAGCCTCTCAAACAGTTGATTACAGACCTGCATTACTTGGTCTGTTCTTTATGAAATTATTCTTCCCTAAAAGTGAGGAGCAAAGTCAAGATTGAACGACAGAGGATAAGACACTGTGGCACTTATCATAAGAGCAACATAACCTGTAGCTAAAAATTGACAAATATGGCAGGAATAAGTATTTGAAAGAGGTTTTTGTGCCCTGTGGTGGTGGTGGTTCACACCTTTAATTACAGCACTTGGGAGACCTCTGAGTTCTAGACCAACCTGGTCTACAGAACTAGTTCCAGAATAGACAGAATTTCATGAAGAAGCCCTGTCTCAAAAAAAAAGAAAGAAAGAAAGAAAAAGAAAGAAAGAAAGAAAGAAGAAAAGAAAAGGAAAAAGAAAAATTTGAGATTGTAGTATTGGGAGGCCAGTACAAAGGGATCTAAATCTGAAGGTGGAGCTGGGTGGAACTCAAGAGAATAGTGCTGCCTAGCTTGTGTGAGGATGTGGCCTTGTTTCCTAGCATAGCAAAACAGCCAAAACCTGAAAAAAGGGATGAATGATAAAAATGCAACTCAGATTATTCAGATAATGGGAAAGCAGGCTCTCCTGCAGGGTATACAGTTAGTCATAAAGAATCTTTGAAGGATTTTTGTAATCTTTGTCCAACGTTGTGACAATGAGTTTGGAAATAGGTTAAAGTCAAAGAAAAGTTAGGTCTGATGTAAATCCCCCGTGTCTAAGGACATTCATTACCTTTGTATGTCATCATCTCTATATAGATTGTCTTCTTCCCTCACAGCACTTCAGTCTGTGTTTGGCCCTGCAGCTCGGAGAATACTGGCGGTGACTCATGCACACAGCTCCCTGGGCCAGCTGCCCCCCTCCCTTGACACACTCCCAGGCTACGAGGAAGCTCTTCGCATGAGCCGCTTCACAGTGGCAAGGTGCGGGCCCAAAGCTCCTGACTTACCCTCAGTGCCAGAGGAAAAGCAGCTGCCTCCCCCAGGGAAGGACTCTCCTCAGCTGGAACTCCCATCACACTGATGGGCACGTTGATGGTATCCTAATATCTAAGACATCCTGGAGTTGAGAAAGATCCCCAGATATATAGAACGCCTTCTTTTGTACCGCCCAGAAAGGTTCAGGATGCCATCTGGATATTGTTCTGTCCACAAGATAGGTTCCCACTCTTTATTTACAAAAATATGCTTTTTTGAGACACAATTTTCTAATTGGAATTCTAACTCCTTATCCAATGGTCAAAGTTTGCATCTCACCTCTAGCTATGTAGATTACTACCAAAGCAGGGGAACATTAAGGTATCTTGAAATCCTTCAACTATGGCATTCATGTACAGTTCCTTTAACCAAATGATACTGCAAATTGCTCTTCTCTCTGCTTGACTGCAGTAACGTTGAAGGGAAAGACAAGGCAGGTACAGTCATTGATATCAGTGCACCAAACACATGCATCTTTCCTTCTAGGGAATGACCACCATTATACTGAACAACAATGGTCACCTGGACTTTGTAGATTGCAGGGCTGGGGGTGCTAATAAGAGGAGAGACTATAGAATAGCCTGTGCCACATGTCAAAACCTTTCTATCACTTTGGTCCTATACACAAGTGTGACATATGGTATAGAGAACAGAAATGGTCCTAGAAACTCTTCAGAGCCTTGTCCTGCAAACATATGCATGCACACGTGCACACACACACACACACACACACACACACACACAGAGAGAGAGAGAGAGAGAGAGAGAGAGAGAGAGAGAGAGAGAGACTTGCACTTCCTTTTAGACTAAGAAAAAAGCATTGGTTTGCTTCTTCCTGTTTTAAGATTTAAGTCTATGTACTCACTCATATTTGGTTTCTAGCCATAAACAAAGGACATTGAGCCTATAATTAGTGATCCTAGAGAAGTTAAATAAGGAGAACCCAAAGAAAAACATATAGGCATCCTCCTGAATATTAACCTTCATCAGGCGATGAAAGGAGACAGAGACAGAGACCCACCTTGGAGCACCGGACAGAAATCTCAAGGTCCAAATCAGGAGCAGAAGGAGAGAGAGCACGAGCAAGGAACTCAGGACCGCGAGGGGTGCACCCACACACTTAGAGAATGGGAATGTTCTATCGGGAACTCACCAAGGCCAGCTGGCCTGGGTCTGAAAAAGCCTGGGATAAAACCGGACTCTCTGAACATAGTGGACAATGAGGACTACTGAGAACTCAAGATCAATGGCAATGGGTTTTTGATCCTACTGCACATACTGGCTTTGTGGGAGCCTAGGCAGTTTGGATGCTCATCTTACTAGACCTGGATGGAGGTGGGTGGTCCTTGGACTTCCCACAGGGCAGGGAACCCTGATTGCTCTTTGGGCTGACTAGGGAGGGGGACTTGATTGGGGGAGGGGGAGGAAAATGGGAGGCGGTGGCAGGGAAGAGACAGAAATCTTTAATAAATAAATAAATTTAAAAAAAAGATTTAAGTCTAGAGCGACTCCTACTGGGCCTTACTGCCATCTAGTGGAGCTATAGCGGAGAATGCATTTCCTCCATTGAGTTCCTCTGCACCTCTCCAGTGCTCAAAGTACTTAAATGCTACCCTAAGCCTAGAACCTTCCACGGTACCACCCTGAGGAGTGAGTAGTGCCAAGCAATGATGGCCACATACTACCTTCTAAAATACTGTCATCACAATCAAAAAAGTAAGATGTACCCTGGAAAAAAACTACCTAGGAAAGTTACTGAAATCTTGGAAGATGGATTTTTCTCATCTAGAAATTAGACAACATTGTGCACAACCAAAAACACCAATACCCAAGGCATGATTTGTAAAGTATGTGTGCGTTAGTTACTTCTTACTATTCCTTCTGTTGTCATTTGCTCTTCAGCAGCCTGTGGTGACTCCGTTGAGTTTTACATTCTGGTTTGTCCTTTTGCTTGTCTATTATGTTATTGTAAAGTCATACCTAAGGTGATTCTATTTTATCAATAAACATGACTTGATTGAGATAAACAGCCAAAAATCTAAGTTATTCTTTGTAACATGCTCTGCAGAGGGGTATTTGAAAAACCTGCCTGTTTTGTAGTGATGAGCTGGGGTTCTCTGGGGGGGAAGATCAGACCCAGGGAAGCATCGATTAGTGCTGAACCTCATTAAATACATTCTTGCAATGTTCACTGAAGCCTGGAGGGAAAAGCATCGTATATGAGTGTAACCTACTAGTGATTGGAACTCCTCAATCACTAATCAGAGTGCCTGGGGAAGCTGTTGACATGTGTAACTTGTTAGTAGCACCAACGGGGACCTTCTTTTACCAAAACCACCAGGCAAGCTACCCAGTCATCATGCATTCTACAAAATAGTCACTTTCTTTCCTTTTTTTTTTTCATCTTTTCTTTTGAGATGGTACTTTGTTGTGTAATCTAGGGTAGTCTCAAAGTTCCTATGCAGACCAATTTCCTGCTGAACTCTGCCTCTTAAGAGCCAGGATTAAGTGCTGGGATTGCAAAAGTATACCACTATGCTCCACTCAATATCCTTGGTTTTTCATTGTTCAATATGATACAGATTTAAACACATTAAGAGGTTGACTGACATTAAAATTTCTGCAATTCATTTTTCTGTTCAACGTAAGGCATATGCCAATCACCTCAGTCATTTTCATCAGTGTTTCAAGTTCTTAATTTCTTTTAATTGGTTTCATACCAATTTTAAAAATTTAAGTCTTGGTTCAATGAAATTACATGATTTCTTCCCAATGCCTACATTGCTGAACAATGCTGGAAAAAGATCTTACAACCCCACTCATCAAACCGAAGTTCACAGTCTTAAATACCTCCTGGGCCATCTAGCAATAATGCCATTTTTTATAGTAACTTCTGTATTCCTTTTGATACAGATTCAAATGTCATTGTCTCTCACATTTCCCATGCCCCACAATCAATCTACTAATTCTAGGTAGGCTCTTGGCTTGGTTCAGAAGGAAATGAAAACCTTTGGGTAACTTTCTATCCTGCAGCCCCAAGCAACTACACATCCTGTTCCTGTGTTGTTGTTGTTTTTTTTTCACTCCCATTGATAATGTTGTGCTTTCTCCTCCCTAGAAAGACCATTACTATGGTGTTTTGCATTGCAAAACAAGCAAAATACAGCAGGATCTTTCAAAACAAGAAGTGTTATTTAAGGAATACCATGCCAAGAATAGCAAAGAGCCTGCCAGGGAAGAAGAATGTGTACGACAAAAACTTTGATTCTCATCTCTCAATTTTTTTTTTAAATTTTATTTTGAGCCGGGCGGTGGTGGCGCATGCCTGTGATCCCAGCACTCAGGAGGCAGAGGCAGGTGGATCTTTGTGAGTTCGAGACCAGCCTGGTCTACAGAGCTAGTTCCAGGACAGGCTCCAAAACCACAGAGAAACCTTGTCTCGAAAAAAACCAAAAAACCAAAACCAAAAAAAAAAAAAATTTTTATTTTGAGAAATGGTCTCATAAAGTTGACCAGAATAACCTTGAATTTATTCTGTAGGTCAGGCAGGCTTTATACATGAGATCCTCTTGGCTTCAACCTCTCAAACATCTGGGCTTACAGATCTGAGCAATCACACCCAGCTTACACTATATTATTTTATATCCTTAAATAAATTGATGATTCGTAGTTTCCTTCAGGTCTTTGGTGGCTGTGATGAGACTTTCTTGAAGGCCTGAACACAAGAACCTGAGTGAAAAGGCCGAAGCTGGAGTTAATGTCAGCAGGGGATGGCAGCCTCATGAAGACATCAGAAAAGGATGAGGCTTGTTCACTCTGCTGCCCTTCTTGATTTGCTTTCCCCCAGGCCACCAGCCCACACTGGAAGGTGCTGCCCACATTCAGACAGTTTGTTCTGTTTGTTTCTTTAGAGACTAAAATCACCAAGTCTTCGAGAGGAATAGAGTGAATTAAAACTGCTATCCGTTGTGACAAAGATGGGAATGTAGAGAAATGCAGGGATTTGAGTTGTGCTGGGAACAGTATCATCACATCACAGCAAGTCGATTAGTTGGAACCGTGTGCAAGGTGACCATTCCCCAGCCTCAGTGTTTTCCTTCATTTTGCTCTTGCTTTCTTTTTTTCTTTTTTTTTTTTAACATAGTATTTTATTGATTATTTGGGAATTTCCCATAAAACACCCTGATCACGCTTGCTTGCTTGCTTTGTTGTTGTTGTTGTTGTTGTTGTTTGTTTTTTGTTTGTTTTTGTTTTTTGAGACAGGGTTTGTCTGTTGCTTTGGAGCCTACCCTGGAACTAGCTATTGTAGCCTTGAACTCACAGAGATCTGCCTGCCTCTGCCTCCCGAGTGTTGAGATTAAAGGTGTGCACCACCACCGCCCGGCCACACTTGTTTTCTTTGCAGCTTCTTCCATGTAGGGTATTTATGTCATAGTGAAAGGGAGGCAGGAAGCAATGAATTGGAGAAGAGAAAGGGCATATTGTGTGGATTAGTGCTAAGCAATTTGAACATTGAAATATTTCTTTTCTTTTTAATTTTTTTGTTTGTTTTTTTTTCAAAACAGGGTTTCTCTCTATAGCTTTGGAGCACGTCCTAGAACTCACTCTGTAGACTCAGCTGGCCTGAACTCACAGAGATTTGCCTGGCTCTGCCTCACGAGTGCTGGGATTAAAGGTGTGTGCCACTATTGACCTGCTGAACTAGAACTTGATGTCAATGAGGAACTAGTTAATATCTTTTTGGCCGGGGAGCTCCATGACATGATCACTGTTTTACAAAGAAACTGTAATGCACCTTTGAATCCTTGCGTGAAGTTTGAGGAAAGAGGATTTTCATTCTATCAGGCAGCATAAAATCCAAGATAAAAATGATGAGAGGGTGAAAAAGAATATGGGGTGTGTGTAAAATGATGGTAATTATCTCTCTTTTTAAACTACATTCTTAGCCATGCTCAAGTTGTAATCAGTCAGGAAACAAAGACGTTGGCTGATTGTTCTCAGACTCTGCCCTCTAATTTGAATCAGTGAAGATTCACTGGCTTTGCTTTCCCAACCCACACAAACTCATCACAGATTTACTCCACATCCTCTACTGCTTACTCTGGAGTTTCTTGAGGTGACCACAGTGACCTTTCTTCCTTTCACATTGATCCAAAATACAGCTCCTCCAAGCAGTCCGAACTGAATCTAGTGTGATGCTTGATTGTGAAAGAGGGTCCCTATCTACACAGTCGGACAAAGAGACCTGCCAGTGCAAGGCTCCTCTTGTGACTGGAGTCATCAGAAGGTGAGAACCCGGGCTCTGAAGGCTATGACATTTGACATTCATAAGCCAATTCCCACCCCAAGTCCACCTCCCAGGTCCTAACATGCGGTTTAGGTTTAAATAAAGGGCCAGAAGTATTCAATTTGGAACCTAAGTAATCAGGGCCTACCTTTAATCACCAGATTCCTGTCTTTCCTATGTGGTGGTCTGGTATGTTTTCAGAACTGAAGACCAGTTCCCCTTCTGGCTGGAGCTAGGCTTCTTTAACCTTTTCCTCTCCCATAAAGAGGGAACTGTCCAATTTCTTGGGGTACATGGTCAATAGTTTGGCTATCAAAGAAGGGTACACAGTGCTTGCTTAGAATAGCTTAATTCCTCCAAGGAGGTTTGCATTTATGGTGTGGGGATTCCTAAAACAGATATATAATCTTTCCCATGAGGACAACAGACTGTGCTTTGTGAAGACTGAGAGTATGAGAGGTGAATTGGGCTGTAGGGAGTAGCTCTCTATGGAGGGGGAGCAAACAGAACCACAAGTTACTCTGCTGTGGCCTTCTGCTGGCCCAGGTCTAGGCTAGGAACTGTACTGTAGATTCTTACCTGGTTTATCATATGTATGTGGCTGGCTCTATGGTCCTAATTAGAGGATCAGCTTCATTGATACAACAGTTGTAGATCAGACTTTGAAAAGAG